TTTTTTTTTTTTTTGAGACCGAATCTCGCTCTGTTACCCAGGCTAGAGTGCCATGGGATCAGCCTAGCTCACAGCAACCACAAACTCTTGGGTTCAGCAGTCCTCCTGGCCCAGTCTCCCAAGTAGCTGGGGCTGTCGGCACTTGCCAGTGCACACAGCTAGTTTTTCTATTTTTGGTAGAGATGGGGTCTCACTTTGCTCAGGCTGGTCGCAAACTCTAGGGCTCAAGAGATCCTCCCCCCTTGGCCACCCAGAGTGCTAGGATTATAGGTGTGAGCCACCGCGCTCAGTGTGTTTAGCGCATCTTCTGTACCTGCATGACACAGTATTTAGGACATAATTCCACCACTGACCACTTGTTGGGTGTTGAATGGTATATTTTATTGGGAGGAAAATAGGCACTTGTGCATCCAGGAGAATATAGTATTATTTAATTTGGTATATAGCTTTTAAAGGGCAAAATTAAATGTCTTGTGGACCTAGTTCACAAAATAATGTGGACGATGTTTTTCCTTTTATTGTTTTTTAGGTGGCTTCTTCTCAAGTATTTTTTCCAGTCTGTTTGGAACTCGGGAAATGAGGATTTTAATTTTGGGATTAGATGGAGCAGGAAAAACCACAATTTTGTACAGATTACAGGTTGGAGAAGTCGTTACTACTATTCCTAGTAAGTGCTATATGATAAACTAATCATAGATTATACTGGTTTCCATCTAGTAAAACACTATTTGTGAATAAATCATGTAATAAAATGATAAGGTCTGTAAACTTCCAATATGAACATAGTATCAGTAATATTTTCTTCATAAACAGAGGCAATTTTGTGTAATTTAAGGATCCCCATCCCAGTACATGGCTCGATTTTGCTGTTTACAAGTTGGCTTAAATTGCTAAATCTTAGTGAGCGGCCAGTATCATTACAAAATTTTACAAAATATTCTCTACATGTTGGCCACCTCTTGGAAAGTTTTGTAATAAATATATATATATTTTTTTCTGGGACAAGAATTTCACTGTGTCGCCCTTGGTAGAGTGCCATGCATCATAGCACACGGCAACCTCAAACTCTTGGGCTTAAGCGATTCTCTTGCCTCAGTCTCCCAAGTAGCTGGGACTAAAGGCGCCTGCTGCAACACCTAGCTAGTTTTTGGTTGTAGTTGTCATTATTGTTTAGCTGGTCCAGGCTGGGTTCAAACCTGCCAGTTCTGGTGTATGTAGCTGGTGCTGTAACCACTGTGCTAGGGGCACTGAGCCTATAATGAATATTTTTTAAATTAATGTACATTTAGCTACAATTTCCCATTTTTCCTATGTATGGCAACTTTAGGGACACCCTGTATTTTAACAAAAACAAAAACTAGTTTTCTAATCATAGTTGTAAGTCATTTTTTACTTTGTTTTTAAGTTTGTAAAATGTTAGTAATTTTTGTATGTATCACTCCAAAGTTCTTTGAGCATCCATTCCACCCTCAGATGCCTTTCAGTGAAAATAGTAGTATCTAGTCTCAGCCAGGTGATGTCAAAGCTCCCCTAAGGATAGCAAAGAAAAGGGGTGGGACACCTCCCTTCTGACCCTATAGCTATAACCTTATCACTGGTGAGCTCTCAAGGATAATCTCCTGATAATCCATGAGATTCCTAGCCCTAAGGCAGGCTATTCTGAAGAAGCCAACTTCCATAAAGCTGTTTCTAGCCTCACTGTGTCTTTACTAAAGTTCAGAATTTAGATTTTCTTGTTTTTTTTTTTTTTTTTTTTGACAGAGTCTCACTGTGTTGCCCTTGGTAGAGTGCTGTGGTGTCTCAGCTAATAGCAACTTCAGACTCTTTGGGCTTAAGTGATTCTCTTGCCTCAGCTTCCCAAGTAGCTGGGACTACAGGCGTCTGCCACGATGCCCGACTATTTTTTGGCTGTAGTTGTCACTGCTATTTGGCAGGCCCAGGCTGGGATCGAACCCACCACCTTCGGTGTATGTGGCTGGCGCCCTAGATGCTTGAGCTACAGGTGCCAATTTTCTTGTTTTTAATACTTTTTGTATTTTTGTATTTGTACATTTGCTACCTACCAAAATCCCAGTTTTTATTTAATTTAATTTTTTTCTTTTTAATGGAAACAGGATCTTGCTCTTTTGCTCAGAATATAGTGCAGTGATATCATCATAGCTCATTGAAACCTCAAATTCCTGGGCTCCAGTAATACTCCTACCTTAGCCTCCCAGCTAGCTGGGACTACAGGCATGTGCCCTTGCATCCAGCTAATTTTTCTATTTTTTTGTAGAGACACTATCCCTCTTTTGCTCAGGCTGGTTTTGAACTCCTGACTTCAAGTGGTCCTCTTACCTTGGCCTCCCAAATGGTGTGAGCCACTGCACCTGGCCCCCAAATCCCAGTTTCTAAAATGTATCTATAGCTATAGATGTATTTTATTTCTAAATAAAACATTATGAATGCTTTTACATGCCAGTACCCTAATATGAGGAGAGTTTAATAGGATTTCTATTGAGGTAAGAATTATATACTGTATTTGTAGAACTTTTGTGGGATTCTTATATAACCTGAAGGTGATGCTGATTTTGCTAGTTGATGTTTGTGTATGTGAAAGTGTATAGCATAGCATACTGTCTTGTCTTAAGTAGAATAAAGTCTCAACTAGTAATGTGATTTAATGATTAATTGCTAGAACTCAATTAGAATGGATACTTTGAAGGTAAAATGCATTGGTCTAAACATACTACTGATTTGATTTCTCTTCCAGCCATCGGATTTAATGTAGAAACGGTGACATATAAAAATCTTAAATTCCAAGTATGGGACTTAGGAGGACAGACAAGTATCAGGTATGGTCCAAAGACTAGGTTATTTTGTGATATAGAACATTTATTTAACAGTAAACCAAAATATATGTTCTACTGCAATTTAAATGGGAGCCATCTAATTTAAAATGAGGTAAAAACTTTTTTTAAATCTTATTTCAAAAATTTACTTTTTATATTTTTTTTATCCCACTCCATGTTTGAATAGAAAAAAATGAGGTAAGATTTAAAAATAGGCTAGGTGTGATGGCTCACACTTGTATTCTGAGAGCATTTTGGGTGGCTGCGGCAGGAGGATTACTTGATGACCATGAGTTTGATCAGTCTGGGCAAAATAGCAAGTACCATCTCTACAAAAAATAAAAAGAATTAGCTGGGCATGGTAGCACATGTCTGGGGGCCCAGCTACTCAGAAGGCTGAGGTGGGAGGACTGCTTGAACCCAGGAGTTGAAGGCTGCAGTGAGCCCTGATTGGGCTGCTGCGTTCTAGCCTGGATGAGAAAGCAGGACCCACCCTGTCACTAAAAAGAGAAGGTTGGAACTATTTCCTCAGAGCATCCATTCAATCTAAGAAAGCCAATTTTTTTTAGATACCACGGGAAGATCTTCATGCAAATCTCAAAACCTTATTACTTTAGGAGATCTCAAGTAAAAAGGGCCTTCCGTTTAGTTTTTGTTAACCCCTCCTCTCCTCCGTGAGACAGATTATTTTGGAATTCATTCACATATCTTGCAGGCGCACCAGTTAAGTCTAATAATAAACATAGATACTTTGTGCAGTTCAGGTCTCTTGCCAAGCATTTTGTGCTTGACTTGGTAACTGAATGTTTGTTGATTACAGACATTCTCATAAAAGATTAGTAGTGCATTCTCCAAACACCCTGCCCACCTTCTTTTAATTCTTTGCATTTCTTCAGTCACTTTTGAACTCAAATAATTATAAATAAACTATTTCTGATTTTAGCTATTTCTGTTTCTTGATGACTTCAGTGATTAATTTAATGGCTGTTTTATAAAATCACGTTAAAATTTTTTGTTTTTGGAGACAGAGTCTCACTTTGTCATCCTGGATAGAGTCGCATGGCATCAAACTCTTGGGCTCAAGTGATCCTCTGTCTCAGCCTCTCAAGTAGCTGGGACTACAGGCACCTGCCACAACACCTGGCTGTTTATTTAGAGATGGATTATCACTCTTGGTCAGGCTGGTTTTGAAGTCTACCCACCTCTGCCTCCCAGAGTGCTGGGATTACAGGTGTGAGCCACAACTCTTGGCCTTACATTAAAATTTTAAAAAATCTTTTCCTCTTTTTTTTTTTTTTATTTTAAATCTCTTCCTCTTAAGGAGTTCCTAGTTAAGAAGTTAGAAGGTGTCACAATTGGGTTTGCATGTAACTTTTTTATCAGTACAGCTAGTGATTGTAGTGTGATTGATATTTTCTTAGCCTAAAGTCTGAACTCATTTTGAAACTCCTGGTCTTAGGATTTAACGTTTATCACCATGCCTTAAATTGCATGCTATTTTCAATTGCACGTGAACTTTATAGACACTCCAGAAACAATGAATCATTAAGGCATCAATTCTAACAGGAGTAGGGCAGGATTGGCATGTAATCCTTCCACCCACTCTGATTATTGCCTGGAGTTCTAGCATGTAAATTGACATGTCAGTTTCTTCTTCTCTCAAATAATAATAATGTATTCTCCCCTTTAAACTTTCTCTAGGCCATACTGGAGATGTTATTATTCAAATACAGATGCAGTTATTTATGTAGTTGACAGTTGTGACCGAGACCGAATTGGCATTTCCAAATCAGAGTTAGTTGCCATGTTGGAGGTAAGAGACACTAACATTTTAAAATGTGGAGGAATCATTTACATTTGCTGGCTGTTTCCAGTATATACTACACATGCACGAATAATTAAAAAGAATGTGAAGATTATTTTTTCCCCCATCCCTTTAATAGCATTTTTTTTTTTTTTTGAGACAGTCTCACTTTATCACCCTTGGTAGAGTGCTATGGCATCACAGCTCACAGCAACCTCCAGCTCTTGGGCTTAGGCTCTTCTCTTGCCTCAGCCTCCCAAGTAGCTGGGATCACAGGTGCCCGCCACAATGCCTGGCTATTTTTTGTTGCACTTTGGCTGGGGCCAGGTTTGAATCCACCATCCTTGGTATATGGGACCAGCGCCCTACCCACTGAGCTACAGGCACCATCCCTTTAATATCATTTTTTTTTAAAATGTGGATTATGTCTAACTTCCATTAAGAGCTAGGTTTTTTGATTTCCAGGAGCTTCAGAGCTCCCTTAAACTAAAGCAACTATTCTAAGTCATTTCTATGACTTTTTAAAAATGCCTTTTTATTTTTAGCTATTTTAAAATTTAGAAGAATTCGTATTTTGGGGTTGCTGGCACAATTTTGGCCCCAGCTTTATCATTCTTTACCCTTCCCTGTATGTATAGCTCTTGAATCATATATATGGGTCATTACAAAACTTTTGAGATGCGCATAAATCAAGAAATGTAAGCATTGCCTGGACAGATACAGTGAAGCCCTCCCGGCAACACTGGTAAGCTGAGCAAGTTGAAACTTGCACCAGTGAATCAGAAAGGCTGTTGTCAACTGTGTTTCTTTGAATGAAATAATACGCTGTAGCATAGTCTGTCTCAAAACTCCCATAGTCACCCATGTAGACCTTTCTGTTCTACAAATATAACAAGCTTGCACAGCTGGCGTAGGGCCTTTTGCACTTGCTAGTCCTTCTTGGAATGTTCTTCCCTAACATCTTTGCATGGGTATATACACATATATATATTTTTATTTATTTATTTATTTATTTACTTATTTTTTTGCAGTTTTTGACCAGGGCTGGGTTTGAACCCGCCACCTCCGGCATTTGGGGCCAGCACCCTACTCCTAGACAGTTTCACTTTGTCACCCTTGGTAGAATGCCATAGTGTCACAGCTCACAGCAACCTCCAGCTCTTGGGCTTAGGTGATTCTCTTGCCTCAGCCTCCCAAGTAGCTGGGACTACAGGCGCACGCCACAACGCTTGGCTATTTTTTGTTACAGTTTGGCTGGTGCTGGGTTTGAACCCGCCACCCTCGGTATGTGGGGCTGGTGCCCTACGCACTGAGTGAGCCACAGGCTCTGCCCAGCATGGCTATATTTTTGATATGTTTCTTCTCATGTGTCTCCCCAGAGAGGAGGCTCAGTTATTTTCTGACACCTTATCCTATTTTATTCTTGTTTACCACTCACCATAGCTTTACATTATTTTTAAGTATATTTCTTTACTTATGTATGTCTCTCCCCCTAAAATGTAAGTTTCTCAAGTTTACCCCGATATCCTGGATAGGAGGAACAGTGACTAGCACTTAATTTAGAACTCAATATATATTACTCATGGATGTTAATACAATCATTTATTGATGGACTAACTGAATTCAGAGGATATATTAAATAATCAGGTTTTAAAAAATTGAAAAATAATCAAATGTACTGTAATTAATGAGTTTGTCTTTGCTCTAGAATATTAGATGGATAAGTTTCTTTTTCATGCCAAAGCTATGATTATGAATTATCCAACCACAAAATATGTAAGTTCTTGATAATCTAGGTACAAACATTCTCAGAAAAAGGACAGTGGATTTCTGATTTCTTAGACTACTGACTTCTTACTGGTATCTAAGTTATAAATTGCAGACTTAGGCTCTGCGTCTATAGCTCAGTGATTAGGGTGCTGGCCACATACACTGGGGCTGGCGGGTTCGAACCTGGCCCTGGCCTGCTAGACAACAATGACAAGTACAACAACAAAACAGGTGGGTGTTGTGGCAGGCACCTGTAGTCGCAGCTACTTGGGAAGCTGAGGCAAGAGAATTGCTTAAGCCCAAGAGTTTGAGATTGCTGTGAGCTGTGATGCCATAGCACTCTACCGAGGGTAACATAATAAGACTCTGTCGCAAATAAATACTATGTAAAGTACAGGTCAAGTATAAGTCAGGACTATTAAACCTGTAGAATACAAAAGCAATTTAGGTTTCATCTTCCTTGTACACAAAAGTGAGTTCTAAAAGAAGTAAAGAAAATGGAATAAAAATGAAAATCATTAGTTGTAAGAATATATGTTTAACATTTCTGGATAGGGAAATGCCTTTCTAAAAGAGAATTAGAAGGAATTATAAAGGAAAAAAATACAGATTTAATTACATTAACATAAACAAGAACATCCAAAAGCTCACCTACACCAAATAGAAATAACTGCAAATGGAAGTGTAAAGCTGGAAGCCAGGCCCAGCCAGGGCCAGGGCCTGAGGATCAGTCTTCTGACCATGTCAAGAGCCTTTTCAAATCAGTGGAAAATGAGCAAAACGTAATTCATAGGAGAAAAGCAAACTGCCAAAACATCCGCGTTTCTAGTACCCTAGTAATGTATGTATAATGAGATGCTGTGTTTGGAAAAATAGGTAATTTCCAGTTCTACTAAGGCGGCAAGGAAGATGGGAAATTTTATACACTGTTGCAGGGTAAAAAGTGTCATGAACTTTCTGGAAAGGCATTTATAATATGTATTCAGTTCATCAAAGCCCCCTGAAACTGTTCATACTTTGACCGCCTTTTAGAGAATCGTGTTAAGGAAACAGATTCAAACAAAGATTTCTGTATCAAGATTCTTGTCAGTTGGGTTTCCGGTAATAGTCAAGTGAAAATCTGTTAAGTGTCTGATACTAGAAAACAGTTAAATAGTTTGTGGTGCATGTATCCATAATGTAGAATATATTTAGCCTTTCATTTTTTTTTTGAAAAAATCCTAATGGAGAAACATTTATGATTTAATGTTTATGGTTTTTGTTTTGCAGTTTTTGGCGGGGTTGGGTTTGAACCCTGCTACCGCTGGCATATGGGGCCGGTGCCCTACTCCTTTGAGCCACAGGCACTGCCCTAATGTTTATGTTTTAAAGCAGGGTACAGAACTCTACATAAACATAATCTTAAATGTGTGAATGAATATATTAAATCAGGCGTCCTCAAACTATGACCCGTGGGCCACATGTGGCCTGCCTAGGACATTTATCTGGCCCGCTGGGTGTTTTTGCCGCTGCTGCCTGTCCTGCTTAGCAGCTAAGTCGTCCTGAGGCCTGCAGTCTGGCCCTCCAATGGTCTGAAGGACAGTGAATTGGCCCCCTGTTTAAAAAGTTGAGGACCCCAGGGCGGCGCCTGTGGCTCAAAGGAGTAGGGCACTGGCCCCATATGCTGGAGGTGGTGGGTTCAGACCCAGCCCTGACCAAAAACTGCAAAAAAAAATTTGAGGAGCCCTGTAAACTTAACTATCTACAGAACAAAGTACTAGTAAAAATTACCCCCAAAAAAGGCTGGGTCCAGTGGCTCACACCTGTAATCTTAGCACTTTGGGAAATGAGGCAGGAGGATCACTTGAGGCCAGGAGTTTGAGACTAGCCTGGGCAACATAGTGAGACCCCATCTCTACAAAAAGTCGAAAAATTAGCCAGACGTTGTAGTGCACGCCCATAGTCCCAGCAACTCACGAGGCTGAGGTAGGAGGATCACTTCAGCCTGGGGAGAGTTCGAGGTTGCAGTGAGCTATGATGACACCATTGCACTTTGGGCCTGGGCAACACAATGAGGAAGAAAATAACAAAAATGTTCACAACGGACATGCCTGGGAGGTAGGATTATGGCTGAAGCTTCTTCATACTTAAGTATAATTTCATAATTTATAATGAATGTTATTTGTTAGAAATTAGAAAATATGCTTTTAAAATAATACATTTTTTGACATTTCTTAAACCGAAGGAAGCAAGTTGACTAGAGGAAATAAAGTATGTTCAATTTTATTTAGGAAGAAGAGCTGAGAAAAGCCATTTTAGTGGTGTTTGCAAATAAGCAGGATATGCAGCAGGCCATGACTCCCTCAGAGATGGCCAATTCACTCGGGCTCCCTGCTTTGAAGGACCGAAAATGGCAGATCTTCAAAACATCAGCAACCAAAGGGACTGGCCTTGATGAGGCGATGGAATGGCAAGTACCGTGTTTTCAGAACTCATATGCACATGCGTGTGTGTTCACAGCTGTGCACACCCACCTGTGCATCCCTTTAGTCTTAAGGATGCAATTCAGATTGACTTAAGCTTACTGTGTAAGTTGCTCTAGCTTTTTCTCCTACCAGTCTTCATGTGGGGCCTGGGTCCCCACTGCCTTTGCTGGGATCTGCAGTGAGCACAGTTGACATGAGAAAAAACTCAGACTCGGTTATCTCAGGTGAAGTAACCGATGGGAGCCTGTGAGGGGCATCCACTAAGCCAGCAGCATCTCAAGTGCAGCCAGCAAGTGCAGCACTGGCCATTCTCCCACTGGTCTCTTTATTCAACCAAAAATCATAAATCAAGTTGACAGCATAGTGCACAAACTTAATTTGAGTTATTCAAAGCAAAGTATCTGAAGGAATCATTAACAGTCAGAAAAGAGAAACAAAGGAAAGGAAAATCCTGTAGGCACACTGTCTGATTACAACTTAAACTTCACAAATTGGGGGTAAACTTGCCTAACTCACTTCAGTGATTTCTACCTATCCGTGGGCAGAACTCAGGTAGTAGTAATCTTTGGTTGCTATACATTCTCTTCTGCAGACAATAGGGCTGTCTGCAGCACCCAGGATCCTGGACTGTGGTCAACAGCACCCTCAGAATCCTAGCCCAGAGCCCTCTGGGTGCTGGACATCTTGTGTAGACCATCAAGCTATTGCTGGCCTTGAGAGATTTGAGGAACTTGGACTCTGTTCAACAACTGTCCAGAAATGCCTGGCCCAAACTACACTACAAAGCTGACTCCCACATCTTCATGTACATGCCTTTATTTCAGCTGCACAGACCTGATTACAATTACTTTGATAGACAGCTCTTTGCCATTTTTCAGCCTTTTCCCTGGCTCACCTCACCATCTGAATTCCTTACTCTTCAGAAGTTAGGTTGAGGCTCTCTTCTCGAGAGCCTTCCTTGATTTCTTTCCATTCCTGCTGCCTTTGTACACACACAAAGTTAGCTGCCTTGTCACAGATCAGGGCACAGTACTTGTTGCACTGTTTTATAATTGATTTATGCATCTACTCATTAGATAATCACCTCCTTGAGGACTGAGACTAGTGTTCACCTGAGTCACATACATGTAGCCCAGCAGTCATCACAGTCTACTCAAAGCATATGCAAATTTCAAAGCTTAAAAGACTCTCAGGGAAATTAAGTCCAGAACCTTGTCTTTCTATCTTTCTTTCTTTTTTTTTCTTTGAGACAGAGTCTTACTTTATGCCCTCAGTAGAGTGCTGTGACGTCACAGCTCACAGCAACCTCAAACCCTTGGATTTAAGCAATTCTTTTGCCTCAGCCTCCCAAGTAGCTGGGACTACAGGTGCCCACCAGAGCGCCTGGCTATTTTTTGTTATTGTAGTTGTCACTGTTGTTTAGCAGGCCCAGGCCGGTTCAAACCCGCTGCTTCCGGGGTATGTGGCTAGCACCCTAACCACTGAGTGGCGGGCACAGAGCCCAGAACCTCATCTTTCTATGTTAGCCTTCATTATTTTAAATGCTTTGGAATCCACCTCCAGTATATAATTTATATTATAAGTGATCATGCTTTATACTTAAAAGTTAATTTTACAAACTGTTCATTTCTTTATAGGTTGGTTGAAACGTTAAAAAGCAGACAGTAATTCAGTCCCTTCGGCTCCTCTGAAATAAGGGCACATCACCTACTGCTTTGGAAACAGTCAAGTGTTCTTTACACTACTAAATGTTAAAATGATAAGATTGTTGGCATCTACTGAACTGACTGCAGCTGCGGCCATGTTGGTAATCAATATGAAAAATACGTATTTGGTTGGAGGGGTAACTCAGTTAAATCACCTAAACGTGCTGTGTAACGTAAAATACTCCTCCCTTGCTTTCTCGTGGTAAGGTATAGATTCTATTTGTATGGATTCTTATTCAAATATAGTCCTATTAAAGAATGTACTCTTGTTGGGGGAAAAAAACCCTTATTTTTGAATTAGTAGTTGCAGCTTGTTTGTATAAACACTAACAAATATCTTAACTCAGATTCTTAAAATGAATTAAGTCTTTCCAAAGATTAAACTCAATAGAGCAGGCTAGGAACATAGTTATGTATAATACAGTCTTCATTTGCTTAACTGACCACTTCTTATTAAGCTGTTTCATGTAAAAGCTTTTGGTTATAGGCATGACTATTATTTTGGTGGTTGACCTTCACTGACTTACCTGTAATTGTCCCTTTTTAGTACTTTATAGTTGTATATACTTTTACATACATTGACCTACTTGATCCATAGAGGCACCCTGTAAGGTAGGTACAACAGGTTATAATGTCTTCACTTTATGGACATGGACCCAGGGTTCTGGTAGGTTGGCTTGCCCAAAGTCACCTGTAGGGAGGTGGGACTTGGGCTCAAAAGTAAGACTTCTGGGTCAGCTTGACTGAGAATTATTGCCGAAAATACCAACATTGACAACACAGAAACCTAACTCTCAAATAAAATTATGCTAATAAAGGTAGTCACAATACATTCAAAATAATGTCTATAAACTTATTTGTCTATACTTATAGAGATGATCCCTGACAGTTAGTGAAAACAACCCTAAATGGTTATATATATTTGATAGAATTCATAACATAGTCAAGAGAAAAATTGCTTATTAAAGGAAATAAAAGATATATTTTAAGAATTATAAAAGATGTCTTTACTGTCATTCATCCTTCCTTATAATTGGACATATAAACTTAATTGGTTAAAAGTCAAAAGTTCTTTTTGGTTCTATAGGGAGAAACTAAGCATTCTTTTTAAAAATTCTGCTTCTAGGCAGTAAGTTTTTTAAAAAACAATTTGTGTTCAAAGGAGCTTTTCAAACTACCAGTTACCATGGGATCAGCCATAGTGTGACAGAATTAAATATAGTCCTTAGTAATTACTAAAATGAGGGGGAATTGTTTTCATTTAAGTTGAGACAGCCAGCATTTTAAAAATGAGGTGCTGGTGAGAAGGATGTGACACCATCGTCCCCCTCCGGTCTCAGGACACCAGTGGTGCACTCCTGGCCCTGACTCTGCTAGAAGGCGTCCTCTGGCCTCTTCCCCTCTCATTTCGCTCCTGGCCGTGGCTCAGTGAAAGCAGCTTTCTCTTCACCTGTGGGAGGCTTACTGTTCTTGCTCATCCGCAGCACTCATCCCTAATTCTCTAATTTGGTCTTTTTTTGAGACTTTCAACTACAAGTGTTCCAATGCAACTAATACTTCTGAGGGGCAGAGACTGTCATTTTTGTATTTATATCTCCAGTGTCCAGCATGCTGCCTGACACACTGTAGCACTTCAAAAGACATTCGTAGTTGAAATAGGACACAGGCAGTCTTGAGTTGCAAACATTCAGCTTATATACAGCTTGCATACTTATGAATGGAGACTGTTACCATAAGTCCCTGAATTAAAAACATCCGACTGACATAGGACTTGGCGATTATGAATGAGACTATTACAGGTAATAGGTAAATGTACCTGTTTCAACTTACATAATTACAGAACCTGTTCGGTTTGTAACCTGGGGACTGCTTGTCTATGTCAGCTAGGGAGATAGTGCTTGCAGAGTTTATACTTGGGTTCCCTCCTGGTCAGTGGTGCACTGCTGGGAAATGCGAGATGAAGGGTGCAGAAAACAAGTTCATGTACGCCTTGAGGGTAAGCCTTGTACAGGGGTGCCCAGCAGTTCTGGGGAATTGTAAAAATATAGAAGTATGGGGAAGTAAGGTCCTGGCAGGCAGCCCTGGGCCCATATTCCTTGCCATCTTGAATCCTGAGGGTGGGAAGCTCTCCCCAAGGTCATCACTTGGATCATTGTGATCCGTCTGTTTCATCACAAAGAACAGGATGGAATAAAGCAGGTATACACTTGCTAGGGTATAAGGTCTTGTCTGGCAGGAAACAATTGCACAGGTATGCTAGCAGGGTTTGAATGTTGATATTTAGAAAATAAATCTGAATATTGTTTTGTGAAAAGCCTGATAATGGGAAAAGCACCAAAGTTGACATCAGACCATGTGAGGTGCAAATGGCCACGTCTTCGGTTTCTTTACTGTAAAGTGAGACTGGAAAAATGATACCAAAGGTTCTTCCAGCTCTAACGCTCTGTTCTGTGACTGGCTGGTAGCTGTGCTGTCTTACCACACTAAAGAAAAGAGAACTTGAGAGCGATGGAATTACTTCTGTTATCTGAATACCTGAGATGCACTTTAAACTGCTGAAATGTATGCTCTTTGAGGGCAGGGCCCATATCTCATTGACTGTTTTATCCCTTGCATCTAGTGTGGTACACGTGATACATAGTAGGCACTCAATAAAAATTTATTGAAAAAAAGACGTGCTCAATCCCTGACATATTTGTTCTTTCTGATCTTTAGTATTTTTTGATTTTAAAATTTTTATGAAAGCAATACATTCACTCTAAGTCACTTAGAATTAAGTAAAATAAGCCTCCCAAGATGTCCCATATTTCCTTTGGACACGTTACAAAAGCCTTAGAGTGAGAACTCCTGTTTGAGATACAAACTACATCAAAGCACAGATACTGAAATGAATGTTTGAACATTTGATTCCTGTGTCACATGCTGTCATATTCTAAGCCCATAATTAAAAATTATAAAGCCTGGACTTGGTGCCTGTGGCTCTAGTGGCTAAGGTGCCAGCCACATACACCTGAGCTGGCAGGTTCAAATTCAGCCCAGGCCGCCAAACAACGACAGTTGCAACCAAAAAATAGCCGGGCGTTGTGGGTGCCTGTAGTCCCAGCTACTTGGGAGGCAGAGGCAGGAGAATTGCTTGAGCCCAGGAGTTGGAGGTTGCTGTGAGCTGTGATGCCATGGCACACTACCCAGGGCAACAGCTTGAGACTCTTGTCTCAAAAAATAAAAATAAAGCCTGGTTCAACGCCTGTAGCACAGTGGTTACTGTGCCTGTGACATACACCAAGGCTGGCAGGGTTGAACCCAGCCTGGGCCCTCTAAACAACAACTGCAACAAAAAATTGCCAGGTGTTGTGGTCCCAGCTACTTAGGCGGCTGAGGCAAGAGAATCAAATATTTAAGCCCAAGGGTTTGAGGTTGCTGTGAGCTGTGACACCATGGCACTCTCTCTGAGGGTGACATAGACTGTCTCAACTAAACAAAAAAAAATTATAAAGCCTAAGCTTAAAATCTTGGCTTTTGGACTTTAAAATCCTGGTTTGAATCATGACTACACCCTACACCCTATGTCACCCTTAGATACCTTTGTGAGTCTTATTTCCTTATCTATAAGAACCATTATTTGGAGTAATAGGAATACTGTGAGCATTAAGCAAAACGTATGATACCAAAGGTTTCTTCTAGGTCTAATGTTCTGTTCTGTGACTGCTTGGTAGCTGTGCTGTCTTACTGCACTAAAAAAAAGAGAACTTGAGAGTGATGGAATTACTTCTGTTATCTGAATACCAACTACCAACCACAGAACAGAACGGGGCTGGGTGCAGTGGCTTGCGCCTGTACTCCTAGCACTCTGGGAGGGCAGGGTGGATGGATTGCCTGAACTCACAGGTTTGAGACCAGCCTGAGCCAAACTTAAAGCTAGTCCGGCATTGTGGTGGGTCCCTGTAGTCCCAGCTACTTGGGAGGCTGAGGTATGAGAATCGCTTAAGCCAGAGAGTCTGAGGTTGCTGTGAGCTATGATGCCATAGCACTTACCAAGGGCAAGAAAGGGAGACACTGTCTCCACAAAACAAAACAAAACATTGTGTGGTTTTGGCAAGACATTAGAAAAATACAGGGTGTCCATAAAGTTCATGTGCAATTTAAAATTTGCAACCATTTTAAATTGCACACAAACTTTATGGACACACTGTATGTTTTTATCATGAAATATTTGATATGCACAAAGTAATATAACGTAGCTGCAAGTCATAAGGCATACTAATATGAAAACTCGGAAACAACACTATGTGACGTGATTAGAATGGTTCAACCCCCCCCTTCCCCACGTGCTCTCTCAATCCTATTCCTTCTCAGAAGCACCTGTGTCCTGGAAAAAAAAAATTCTTTTATTCTCTTTTTTTGAGAACTTCTCACTTGGTCACCCTTGATGGAGTGCTGTGGCCTCTTAGCTCACAGCAATCTCAAACTCTTTGGGTTCAAGTGATCATCCTCTTGCCTCAGCCTCCCAAGTAGCTGGGACTCCAGGTGCCTGCCACAATGCCCAGCTATTTTTCTTTTTGGCCAGGGCTGGGTTTGAACTGCCACTCTTGGCATATGGGGCCAGCGCCCTGCTCCTTGAGCCACAGGTGCCAACCCTGGCTACTTTTGTTTTAGAGACAGGGTCTCTTGCTCAGGCTGGTCTCTAACCTGTGAGCTCAGACAATCCACCTGCCTCAGCCTCACAAGAGCTGGGATTACAGGTGTGAACCAACATGCCCAGCCTGTCCTGAAAATTTTGAAATCATTTTTCTCTATAAGTTATGAATGTATAAATGTGCGGCTCCCTGTTTCCCTGCGTTCATATTAATGATAATTCAACTGCATTTTTCTATGATTTTTTCTCTGACTCAACATTGTTCCTAGGCCCCATCTAGTTGGTTTTCACTACTGGATTACATACCACTTTCTCTCTTCTCTGGGGTATTTGGATTGCTTCTGGTTCTCTTGTCTATGGTTCTTGAACATTCTCGTACCTACCATTTTTGGATCCATGGTTTGAAGTTTCTCTTGGAGTGGAACTGCTGGGTCAGGGCTGTGCCATCTTCAGGTTTACGAGATGATGCCAAATTGCTTTCCAAAGCGGCTTACGGGCGTTCCTATTGCTCCGCCATCTTTGCCAACACCTGGGTTCCATTTAAACCCCTAGATTCAGAATGGGATTTCCTTGTGGTGTTAATTTGCATTTTCCTAATTACTAATGAGGCTGAACAGAGGAATGATTCAAAACAGATATATGTATATTTT